CTCAAGGCTCAAGGGCCAGATCCAGCCCATGGGGTGTTTATATCTGGCCAGTGTGGCTTCCCTGGAAACAGGATTGGCCCACAGTGCCACTGCTAGCGAAAATGGAACTCGGACGGCCCTCCCCAACTTCGTTTTTGCTGGCAGAGGGTTGCAGGAGGCCGTCGCAGCTAAAAACGGAGCTCAGGAGCCTGTTTTCGCTGACAGAATGCTCGGGCCACTACAGGTGCCCCCAACACAAGTGACGTCGAGCTGGCCATGCCCACCCTGGCCACTACCCACCCCGGCTTCCTGAGGTCAAACACAACCCTGATATGGTCCTCAATGAAATCAAGTTTGACACCCCTGGTTTAGATAGATCCAGTCTTGCTTTATTTGTCTAAAACTGCTGGTGTAACTATACCATCTTATTGATGGAAACTGCTCACTATTTCCATCAATTCCACTGTCTTTTAGCAGAAATTTTTTTTGGTTTAGTGCTTGCTTCTGGACCAACAGACTACCCCTCCCCCCCCCAAAAAAGAGGAATGGTATAAAGAAGTCACCACTGTCATGGAAATGGATTGGGAAATTATGAAAAAAACAACAACAGTTCAACCCCCAAATATCATTGTTGCTGACACCATCCAAGGATTACATCATTTGCTTTCTAAAATGCTATTAAAATATACACTTGGTCATACCGGGTTTCCCTGAAAATAAGACCCTGTCTCATATTTTTTTGAACCCCGAAATAAGTGCTTGCCCTTATTTTTGGGGAGGTCTTATTATTTTGGGACGCGTGGAGGAAACCAGAGGAAATGGCGGAGACCGGCTGCACATGTGTTTAAATATTTTGGGGGAGGGCTTATTTTGGGGGGGCTTATTTTAGTGCATGCGCTCAAAAGCCCGATTGGGCTTATTATCAGGGGATGTCTTATTTTAGGGGAAACAGGATATTTGACTCATCAAGAAATATTGATATGGTGTACCTTTTTCCCTGATTCTGCTAAATTTTTGACAATATGATTCAGATATTTTTCACATTTTCTTGCTTTTTAGAATGTTATCAGGAATGAACGTTCTTTGTGGAATAAAGAGACTTGTTTTGCTCAAGATCAGCTAGCTGATAGGCAGGAACCATTAAGTCCTCAATCTACAAAGAAGTGTCTTTAATCAAAAAGAGTCCCTTTTTTTAAGTTAATAAGTCAGGAACTTATGTAAGAAGCTTCAATTGAAACCACCAATATTTGGAATATGTAGGGCAGTGCACGTCTCCCTTGAGTTTCTATCTGGAATCTGAATTGGTTTTAATGTTTTGAATTTGACTTAAGTGTTAAAAAGATCTGAAAATACAGCCCATCTCTTCTGGAGTATCATTAGTCCCACCCAGGTGTGTAGTGTTTCTTTTTCCATAATCCTTGCCTAAGAGTCAAGCCTGTACAGTCCATTGAAAATACAATAAATCCCATCTGACATTTTTACAGAAATGTTTGGTCTGTTAGAAATAATATTGTTAGATCAAATAAACCCTTGGTCTTGTTCAGCAAGGGCTCATGGTTATGAAAAGAATACATAGAACATGTTAAATAAATAATTCTATGAATATTTCCAGTTGGCCAATTTTATTGATTTTTTTTCTCCTGTAGATAAAGTTCATGAAATATGCATTATGTTTATATCGTACGCAATCATAAAAGATATGAAACTCCCTCCCCCCCCCCCCTGTTTTGTGTGTATTTGTGAGCGTGAACTTCATTTTGTTATATTAAGGATTCTTCTTCCTGTTGCTCAGGGCCTCAAAAACATAGAAATTGGCCTCGGTGTCTCTGAGAAGGTCCGCTTATTGCTAGTGAATCCCTTTTAAAAGAACAAAAGGGCAAAAGCTTCAGAAGGCCAAAATAAACACAATTTTAAGCTAAAGATTTTAGCAATTCACATCTTCCTTGAGGATTGCAATCATGCTGTTAAGCCTCAGAGCATACAGTTCTGTGATTACAGACTGATGCAGTGCTGGATTTTATTTTTATTTTTTTAATAATGCTTGATTTTCAGAAGCAAAATTGCTATTTTAGTGAGGAGCAATTGCCCACCGCCCAAGCAAGAAATATAGTAAGTGGCCTCTCAAGATATTTTTTTTTTCCCTCACCAAGAAAATAAGAGCCATGATGGATTGTCCCACAAGTCAGTCTGGAAGCAGCTTTTCAATTAGTTGCTATTCTGTAACTTTGAACTAAAGGAGACCGATATCTTGTCCACCCCTCCCCTTAGCCTTTTCTCCCAAAATCTAGATGAATGGTTTTGTGAAAAGATTTTTCTGTGTTACTCTGGACCAGAATGACTGAATGGAACCAATTTTAGTTGCTGCTCAGATTGGTGTCTCTTGACAGAGAGGGGTGGAAAACCCAATTCCTTTAATCTTGGAAGACCCACTACATGTCAGAGTAGGTGTTTTCCAGAAAATGACAGTTTTCATGATCTGATCAAGTTGATTAGGAAAAAAAAAATGAACCCCTTTCTCGTGCTGTGGACTTCACTTGGAGTGTCCCTTTGATTTGATTTGTCGCAATGATTTTTGTATATCCACAGTTGAACTTTTAACGTACAATTTGTTTTTTAGGAAATCATCTTCATGCCCCACCAAATGATTGAAAATATTAATTTAACAGATCTGTGGAAAATAAGGGCAGGGTGGATGTCTGAAAGACTGGCAATGTTCTCCTAAAGTGGCCAACTCCATCTACATCAAAAGTGTAGGTTCTGTTTTGAGCAACAAGCAGAGAATGTGTAGCTCTCTGAGTATAATTTCTGGCAACTCCTTCTAAAATGGGCATTGATGATGGAATCTGGGAATTATGTTTAAGAAATTATTATTGTCCTTGTTTTTAGCAACATTTGGAAATCACAAGTTTCCTGCCCCTAAATTTAAGCATAAAGAATTATATATGTAATTCTAACAGAAGCAAAAATATTTACAATGTACAAAGGACAAGGTAGCCACCAAGAGCCTGGTGGCGCAGCAGACTAATAGCCTGTTATTAACATTCAGCTGCCTGCAATTACTGCAAGTTCGAATCTCCCCAGGCTCAAGGTTGACTCAGCCTTCCATCCTTCCTAAGGTAGGTAAATTGAGGACCCAGTTTGTGGGAGCAATAAGCTGACTTTGTATAAATATACAAAAGTATGAAGGCCATTGCTGAGCACATTGTAAGCCGCCCTGAGTCTCCGGAGAAGGGCGGCATATAAATCAAATTTTTTTAAAAAAGGGTAAATGATGGCTTCATCATCATCACCATTATGACAACAAAGAAAAAGTAACAGTTCCATCTATATACTAAAAGTAATTCAAGCAAATAATAGAAATCTGCATAAAAAGGCTTCATAGCATAAATTGGGGCCCATATCATCTGGAGTGCATGAGTTTCCATTCTTTCAAAAGATGCTGTGAAGATAGCATTAGTGCTGTACTATTGTTTATGCACCTCTTTTTTTTTCCAGAAGCAAAGAGCATCCTGAAAACTCATGTGTGTGAAAGCCATGCAACTTTGCCACCAGAATAAAAAATATTTCTTTTATTGCCCTATGTCAGGGCTGTCAAACTCCCAGCCCGCGGGCCGGATGCGTCACATGCTAGCCACGCTTGGTTTAGAGAAGGGGAAAAAAATTGTGATATGTCACATGATGGCGCCGTGACGCTGTGAGTTTGACACCCCTGCCCTATGTGATACACAGATGTAATGAACCCCCCACCCTTTAATTGATCAGTTATTTTCTTCTTTCCTTCATTGGTTTAGGGCAGTGGTCTCCAATCTTTGTGGCTTAGCGGCCCAGCTGGGGGGGGGGAGAAGGGAACCGGACTGCAAGTTGTGCGCATGTGCATGCACGCTGGCCCGTCGCTCGCACAAGTCGAATGTGCTGGCCCAAAGCCCGGTTGTGAACCAAGCCATGGTTGGGGATCCCTAGTTTAGAGAATTCCCTTCGGTTGCATGGCTCAGTCATATTGATATACTTCTAGTCTAGCAATTATATTCTCAAGGGAAAATTCATCATGAACTTTGAATAGAATGAGAAAAATATAATTATAATTTATACTAGTATTAATAGTTAATAACAGTTTCTTGATGAAATCATGAGAAAGTTTTACACTACTTTGTTTTAGTGTCTTCTGAATAGAGAGATACTCTGTACCTATTCCATAGCATTTTTGTTCCCTAATAATTTTGAGCTTACCATTTTTTCCTGAATATTAAAAGTATTATTGCTGATTCCTGAGTTTTTCTGGAATGTCGGCCTTAGCTTAGCTAAACACTGTTTTGAATCAGTTTTCAGTTGGTTGTGTTCGCTCTTAGAATGATTTCAGACATAAATAATCTATCCTTTTTCAGTTTTAGTGGTTTGGGTTTGTCCTGGATATGTTATCTCAAAGATCTCAGAGAGCTCAACGGTGCCTCCATTTTCATTTCTGGGGGCTGTAGTCATCCTTCTTCAAGTATGAGATTTTCCAGTCCCAGTTTCATTGCTATTTGCTAAGTTTGAAAGCATGAAAAATTGCTCCTTGAATAGGATATTTTAGGTCCTAATGAGTATCTGTGAAGTTGGGCTCTGAGTGCTGGTTCAGCTGAATGCTTTCATCTGAAAATAAATTGGAATGTTGAGTGATTGAGTTGCTTTGGGCTGCTCAGAGTAAGCTTTCCTGGGCCTATAGCCTGTCTGTTGGAAAAATTACTGTGGACAATTTCCAGTTAAATTTGCACCCAGTATACTTCCAGCCAATTCTAGATTACAGCAAGTGTACATATCACTTATTTCAGCTCGTGGAAAAATATGTAAACTGGCAAAAAAAGAGGGGAAAAAATAGGCAAAAGCAAGGAGAGAGAGACATATGCAAGTAAACATGAATTTGTATTGTTTATATATTGCCAGTTCTGTGCCCATTCCTTTTCATCTTTGCTATCCAGTCATCAACATATACACCATGTGTTTTTAGTAATGTGTATCTTAACACATTTTATCTTCTTTTTCAGGTTTTTCCATCATGTTTGGAAAGAAAAAGAAAAAGATTGAAATTTCTGGCCCTTCCAATTTTGAACACAGGGTACACACTGGATTTGATCACAGAGAACAAAAATTCACCGGACTACCTCAACAATGGCATAGTTTGCTGGCAGATACAGCAAATAGGCCAAAGCCTATGGTGGATCCTTCATGCATCACACCCATCCAGCTTGCGCCTATGAAGGTACCGTACCAGCTTTTTCCCCCTCCCCCTCCCCTTTCATTTTCTTTTCTTTGTGATAACTTTATTAGATTTTTTAAAAAAACTAGAAAGATTTTAAAACTAACAGAAATCAATTAAGGTTGAAAAGGAAAAAAAGAAAGAAAGAGAAAGCAAATAGTTCAGAAAGAAAAGAAAGGAAAAGGAAATATAAAGAAATGACTTCTGATTTTCTTTTACAGGTAGGTATAGGTATAAATTTAAATTGATCTCTTACTCTAAGGTTAGAAAATAATATTCATTTTCTCTATTATCTACTATTTTTTTAATCATCAAACTCATATGTCATCAAACATACCGTGTTTCTCTGAAAATAAGACCCTATTTTTTTGAACCCTGAAATAGGGCTTGGCCTTATGTGCCATACGCTCAAAAGCCCGATTGGGCTTATTAACAGGGGATGTCTTATTTTGGGGGAAACAAGGTATGTCATGTGTTTCTGTTTCATGCAAAAAAGGGATTTCCTGTCAGCATTACAAATAATTTTATCTTTTCACTGTCAATGTTGCCATCTCAGCAAATTTCATTGTCTTTACCATCCCTTCTTCCATTGTGGGTCATGTCAACTCTTTCACCATTGTGTATATAAAAGTCTCACTACTGTTAATTGCATTTAAAAACAAAGTTCCATGGTTGTTTCCCAACTTTTGTCAATCAGTCCCAAAAGAAACATCTCTGGGTTCAGTTATATATTAATCTTTAAAATCTGAATTAATGTGTATTTGAATCCATTTTTTCACGTCCACCAAGCATGATTAAAAAGTCCCCCCATTCATATTTTCAATTTACATTTGAAGTGCCTTTATATATTTTAGACAATTTTTCTAGTGACAAATACACCAATGAGACATCATTTTATAAAAGTTCTCTTTAAGATTGTAAACATAATGTGAATTTCAATTCTTTCAGCCACATATTCTCCCATTGTTTCCTTTGTATATTATAACCAAAATTTTAGCTCATTTTATCAAATATTCTTTCACTTCTTCTTCTGTGTCAAATTTTAATAAACATTTTATACGTTTCAGCAGTATGTTCATCATTTGTACATAATTCTGTTTCAAATTCAGTCTTTTTTAACTTCATTCCATATCTTAACATATTTCTTTTGAAACAAACATACAATTCATATTTGTCAAATTAACACCCAGATATCTTACCCTTCTCTCAATCTTGAAACCCATTCTGTTTGTCTCTATTGTTTGATCTAGTACCTTCATATTTTTATTAGCTTTTAATAAACAGAAGTTATGTCTTCTGTTTATTAATCTTAAAAGTCAGCTCGTATACTTTTCTTCATTTTCTTTGATGCCAAAAATTTGATTGATTACACAGGCCATCTCTCTTTCCTCTTCTGTGAGTGAAGTGTAAAGTAATATTCCAAAAGGTGCACCTCTGTTAAATACAAAAAACTGTAATACATTAGAGATACGAGCTTTTATGCAAACCCTTGACCTCTCCCCCTGTTATTCTGTCACAAATCTTCTCAGGATTCCAGCTATTAATATTACATGCCCTGGATCACATAAATCCTTAGGCAGACTAGATTGAAATGTAGGGACAAGCAGCAGAAAATAGATAAAATATTATAAGCCTGTGTTTGGTCATCTGGTTAGAAATCTTATTGAGGTCAGTGGGTCTTACCTCTGAACAGACATCTATACATTAATGTTGTTCATGGATCCCACTGAAGGAAAATAAGGGACAATGTCCATATTTGATACTGTCTTGGGACCGATAACACAAGATGCTATCAGTTGCCTTGCTTGGCTTCCAGGGCACTTTGCCTATTTATTGGTTAAAGGCATTTTTATTTTATAGTTTTAAAAAAATGCTGGATTGCCACAAAGCTGAGTAGGAATGGAATTATCTTCATTGCTTTTCTCTTTTTTGCCATCTAATAATTTGATTAATTTTACAGATAAATGTGAACTAACAATGAAAAAATAAGATACAGAGTAAAGAGAGAATAGAGATAGAAGTGCAAAAACGTATGAAGAAAAAGAAAGGAAAAAAAAACACAAAGAATGATTTCTTCCAAGGATATAGGGAACACTTACATTGAACTCTTAGTTTAAGATTGTACTATAATGTCCATTTACCTTTTAAAATTTTAACAAACATCAAATCCATATGTCAAAATCTGAGTTTTCTCCATCTCCTGCAAAATGTCTACAAAGAGCTTCCAATGAAGTTGAGTAGATGAATTCCTTCAGTGATTTTTCTCTCACAACTTAGCCATTGTTGCCAGTTCTGTCATCTTTATTAACCATTCGTCTACTGTAGGTATTTTAGGATTTTCTGAAATCATGCATGAAAACTCTGCACAGATTCATTGATATTCTTAGAAAATAAAAACAGGGTAGGTTTTGCATATGTCACAAACGCAGCACATGCAATTTTAATTTTGTTCTTTGAACATAAAGTAATTATTTCTTGTTAACAGCTAGTCCTCGACTCACGACTGGGGGAAAAAAGGTCCATTGTGGACAATAAAGTTTGCTTAACAACTACAGCATTAGCTTAACAACTGCCACAAAAAATGGGTAAAATTGGGTCAGCCTCATGACAACCACTTTAACAATTGACACAATTTACAACCGTAATTCCAGGGTCATTTAGGGTCATAGGTCGAAGACTACCTGTACTTTTGGCAATATCTATCTTGCTTGCTTGCTTGTTTGTTTGTTTTTGTCTACCTTGGTTTCTGCACTTCTCTCCTATCACCACCACCACAATACCGATTCTGAGGCCTTCTTTAGGAGCAACTCCATATAATAGTACAAAAAATAAAGATATTAAGAAATTAAAAATAATAACTGTTAAGCAGGAAAGAATTGGTTGTCCCAAATATTAGGTAAAATTGTCTTTGTAAATTTGGATTATTAAACATAAGGCACACAGACACACACACACATACACACACACGCGCGCACACACACACACACACACACACACACAGAGTGTTATTTTAAGCATCTGTATCTCTACAGCTACTTTCTAAGAAAAAAATTGAATTACAAACTCCAGTGCGGAGCCATTTATCTTTTGGATCTACCCCAAATTAGAATACACATTTTTGCAAAAATAAATGATGTATGTATTCTGTGTCCTGACACAGACCACTACACATGAGAGATGCAAACTTGGCAGCAAATATTTGGGATTAATCTATTCCCCTCTTGAGTGTAGACACTGGCAACATATTACTTTGAATAATTAAGTCACAAAAAGCTGAGTCTGATTAGTATTACATTAGCATCTGCTGAACCTTTAAAAAATGGCCATATGTCCTAACTTCTTCCAAACCTCACTTCCAAGCAATCCAGATTAATTGGTAATATTGATTTTCCCATCCCCCCCATCAAAAACCCCCAAAAACCATTATGAATGTTTATCATTTGGGCTTCATTACAATAGTAAATGAAAAATAGATAGTATATCACATATGGAAGTCTGGCTGAAGAATACTAAAGTAAGACTCTGGCAAAGAATGCATTCTGCTGTTTGTAGCTAGTATATGTTAACTGGGATTAAGTTTTTGTAGTTTCCAGGTTTCTCAAGATTTTGCTGTAGGAGAAAAGAAGTCTCATTTGGTCTCAATATTATTCTAGGATGATCTTTAGGAACCCTTACCTTTTCATAATACAATAAATGACTAGATTCTTTTCTCCCCCTTAGACTACATTCTGATAGATCTAAACTTTAGTTAGTCTGCTTTAATCCTTAAAATTAAATGGTTAAATCTGCTTTATATTTCAGAGAATAGGGCCTAGAGTAGAACTTTTTATTCGTATATCCCCAACCTTCTGGCATGATAACCACAAATGCAATTTTGAAAGTGTGTTATTGGCACGCTAATAAATTGACTGTTGAAGTAGGTGTGGCCAGTAACAAATACAGATTTCCCAAAAAGGCAGACTGGTGAGAATTCTCCCACCACTTCTATTATTCCAGGATGTAATCTATCATAAGGGCAATGTGATAAACAGCATCCTGGAATAATAAAAGAAGTGGTGGGAGAAAGCTCACCATCCTGCCTTCTGGGAAATCTCTATTTGTTACTCTATCTCTCTACCTACTGACAGAATTTAACAGAAGAACAGAGTTGGAAGGGACCTTGGAGGTCTTCTAGTCCAACCCCCTGCCTAGGCAGGAAACCCTACACCACTTCAGACAAATGGTTATGCAATATCTTCTTAAAAACTTCCAGTGTTGGAGCATTTACATTTTCTGGAGGCAAGTTGTTCTACTGATTAATTGTTCTAACTGTCAGGAAATTTCTCCTTAGTTCTAGGTTGTGTCTCTCATTGTTTAGTTTCCACCCATTACTTCTTGTCCGGCCCTCAGGTGCTTTGCAGAATAGCTTGACTCCCTCTTCTTTGTGGCAGCCCCTGAGATATTGGAACACTGCTATCATGTCACCCCCTAGTCTTTCTTTTCATTAGACATACCCAGTTCCTGCAACCGTTCTTCATGTTTTAGCCTCCAGTCCCCTAATTATCTTTGTTGCCCTTCTCTGCACTCTTTCTAGAGTCTCCACATCTTTTTTACATCATGGCGACCAAAACTGGATGCAGTATTCCGAGTGTGGCCTTACCAAGGCATTATAAAGTGGTATTAACACTTCACGTGATCTTGATTCTATCCCACAGCCTAGAACTGTGTTGGCTTTTTTGACAGCTGCTGCACAGTGCTGGCTCATATTTAAATGGTTGTCCACTAGGATTCCAAGATCCCTCTCACAGTTACTACTGTTGAGTGAGGTACCACATACTTCAACAGTCAATTTATTAGAATGCCAATAATACGCTCTCAAAATTACATTTGTATTTATAATGCTAAAAGGTTGGGGTTCCGCCCCCCTAGGCAATGTTGTAGTTGTAGTTTTTTGTGGGACCCCAAAGAACTACTGGGAACACAATTTATGTTTGAGATTGGCTTTTTTCTTTGCCACATCCTAA